CCTGCTGCTGAAGCATATTGATTTCTTTAAATCTAAGGTAGGGGATCACGGGGCGGGGTGGTTGGGGTGAGGAGATGGGGGTGGGTGGCCGGGAATTTGCCCCAAAGTTGGTCATCAGGTGCAAAAAGCGTCATTTTTGACGATTTTTCGTCCTATTACTTGACCCCAAAGACCGAGGGATGCTGATATAGGTATCCATCTGTAGTCTGCATGTACAGTGGACTCCAGTAAACACATTAACCCCAACAGTTCTTAGGTTGGAGTGAAACTGATCTGGGAACACCAGTCTAAAGAAGGTCAATTGGACAAAAAATACGGAATTTCACGATTTCTTCCGATTTTGGACTTCAACTGGACCTGAAACCGGAAGTAGTCGTTTCCTCTGCGTATTTCAAAAATAATTATGATCAGTAGATATATGTCTGCGGGTTTACACTATTTTTGAAAGTTTTAGGCCTATGAACTTCCTGTGTAAGACACAGAAGGGAAGCCCACCCCTCCAGAAAAACCAGTTTTATCCAATTTCAATTTTCCAAGTTCGTATTTGAGCTCAAAATGCTACTTAAACATGAGAAACATGACAATAGATAGCCTCAGGTTGAGGGAACATGCATCCATTTCGAAATAAGTATCATAAAGTTGACCTCTAAAAGTATGGAGAGCCATTAGAGCCAAATAACGGTGGTCTGGGTCATCCCGTCATATGACGGGCTCAGCATGGTAAGGGTTTAAACAACAAAAATTAAAATCAACTTGAAAGTGTTTTTGAGCAAATCTGTATATCTGGAGGCCTTGATAACCCATTCCGACCTAAAATGAGACGAAAAAACATACAAATTGAGGCTAAAACTGGAAAAAAATCGATTTCTACCACCAATGGCCTTAACACTTACCATGCTGAATTGTTTTCAGAAAAAGTCTAATTTTCGTTTATTTGCAAAAATATGCAAATTATATGCAAATGAGCTTTACCCTGCTGCTGAAGCATATTGATTTCTTTAAATCTAAGGTAGGGGATCACGGGGCGGGGTGGTTGGGGTGAGGAGGTGGGGGTGGGTGGGCGGGAATTTGCCCCAAAGTTGGTCATCAGGTGCAAAAAGCGTCATTTTTGACGATTTTTCGTCCTATTACTTGACCCCAAAGACCGAGGGATGCTGATATAGGTATCCATCTGTAGTCTGCATGTACAGTGGACCCCAGTAAACACATTAACCCCAACAGTTCTTAGGTTGGAGTGAAACTGATCTGGGAACACCAGTCTAAAGAAGGTCAATTGGACAAAAAATACGGAATTTCACGATTTCTTCCGATTTTGGACTTCAACTGGACCTGAAACCGGAAGTAGTCATTTCCTCTGCGTATTTCAAAAATAATTATGATCAGTAGATATATGTCTGCGGGTTTACACTATTTTTGAAAGTTTTAGGCCTATGAACTTCCTGTGTAAGACACAGAAGGGAAGCCCACCCCTCCAGAAAAACCAGTTTTATCCAATTTCAATTTTCCAAGTTCGTATTTGAGCTCAAAATGCTACTTAAACATGAGAAACATGACAATAGATAGCCTCAGGTTGAGGGAACATGCATCCATTTCGAAATAAGTATCATAAAGTTGACCTCTAAAAGTATGGAGAGCCATTAGAGCCAAATAACGGTGGTCTGGGTCATCCCGTCATATGACGGGCTCAGCATGGTAAGGGTTAATTAATAAACAACAAAAATTAAAATCAACTTGAAAGTGTTTTTGAGCAAATCTGTATATCTGGAGGCCTTGATAACCCATTCCGACCTAAAATGAGACGAAAAAACATACAAATTGAGGCTAAAACTGGAAAAAAATCGATTTCTACCACCAATGGCCTTAACACTTACCATGCTGAATTGTTTTCAGAAAAAGTCTAATTTTCGTTTATTTGCAAAAATATGCAAATTATATGCAAATGAGCTTTACCCTGCTGCTGAAGCATATTGATTTCTTTAAATCTAAGGTAGGGGATCACGGGGCGGGGTGGTTGGGGTGAGGAGGTGGGGGTGGGTGGGCGGGAATTTGCCCCAAAGTTGGTCATCAGGTGCAAAAAGCGTCATTTTTGACGATTTTTCGTCCTATTACTTGACCCCAAAGACCGAGGGATGCTGATATAGGTATCCATCTGTAGTCTGCATGTACAGTGGACCCCAGTAAACACATTAACCCCAACAGTTCTTAGGTTGGAGTGAAACTGATCTGGGAACACCAGTCTAAAGAAGGTCAATTGGACAAAAAATACGGAATTTCACGATTTCTTCCGATTTTGGACTTCAACTGGACCTGAAACCGGAAGTAGTCGTTTCCTCTGCGTATTTCAAAAATAATTATGATCAGTAGATATATGTCTGCGGGTTTACACTATTTTTGAAAGTTTTAGGCCTATGAACTTCCTGTGTAAGACACAGAAGGGAAGCCCACCCCTCCAGAAAAACCAGTTTTATCCAATTTCAATTTTCCAAGTTCGTATTTGAACTCAAAATGCTACTTAAACATGAGAAACATGACAATAGATAGCCTCAGGTTGAGGGAACATGCATCCATTTCGAAATAAGTATCATAAAGTTGACCTCTAAAAGTATGGAGAGCCATTAGAGCCAAATAACGGTGGTCTGGGTCATCCCGTCATATGACGGGCTCAGCATGGTAAGGGTTAATATATAATTAAGCAGTCAAAGACACTATTCAATGAATTTCAAAATTTCATTTCTTGTTCATTAATTCTAAAAATGCAATAGAAATCGCTTTCAATACATCACACAGCATGCTGCAAGCTTTACATTTCAAATAGTCAACACTTTTGAGTGTATATAGAATCGTAAATAATTATGGAAATTATCTAAATGTTGGCAAAATTGCACTATTGTGTGAAATAGCTTTCCATATTCTCGGCATCCTGTCAAATAGTTCACAAAAAGTAACAATTGTTCTGCATTAGAAGAAAAAAAAGTTGCACTCGTGCTTTAACTTTTTTTTTTGCCACACAAAACTGTTTTGACAAAACATTCTACTTCTGAAACAGTTGATTTCGTTTACTTATGATTGGACGAAAGGTTTATTTTTGGTACTCAAAGTATGGTGGGCAAGGAAATTATTTATTAGCTTTAAAAAATAATCCTAGTGCATTTGCACCTAGTGCGGAAAAAAGTATTGTCATAGAATTTTTGTTTGTTAACTTTTCGGTAAGGGTTTGGTAGGGTATCTGACCTCAACTTTGGACCTACTTTAGAAAAAAAACTAAGCCGAAAAATACCCTGTGTTTTTTTCTACTGTAGACCTCAGCTACTAAGCTTCCCTTTGTCTTAGTGCGTACAAAAGTATTGCCTTAGAATTTTTTTTTTATTAAATTTTCGGTAAGGGTGGGGTTGGGTGTCCGCGGACCCCAACTTTGGAACTACTTAAAAAAAAACTAAGACGAATAACACCCTGGATTTTTTCCTCCAGTAGACCTCAGCTACCCAACTTCCCTTTGCACCTAGTATTGCCGTAGATTTTTTTTATTAACTTTTCGGTAATGGTGTGGTAGGGTAGGTAGCTGAGGTCCACTTGAGAAAAATCCAGATTGATGTTCGGCTTATTCTTTTTTTATAATGTAATAAGCTGGCAAATTATGAAAGCTCACGTCTTAATTGATAGGCATAGAAATAAAAAGAAAACGTATGAAAACCAATAACAATCTACCGGAGACAAAATAACGTTGGTTTAGGCAACTAGTATGATGGTTTGGATGCGTATTTCTTCATTTCTGTATTCTTTGATATTCTATTCCATTTTTCTCTATTCTTTATCATGTTTATTTCTTTATACTTTTTGCCAATTATTCTATTCTTTTTATATTTAAACACCTCATTATTCTATTTTTTTTTTTTATTTCTTGGTCCATTGTCTCTATTATTTATATTTTTTGCCCAATATTCTCTATTCCGTATACCCCCATCCACACCCAGGCTCTAGTTAAGATCACCATATAGCTTTCAAAAATAAGCAAAACTAATACCGAGTAGGCTCCGAATGGCAAAATGATTGAATGCTTATCCCGGTTTTAATTGTGAATCTGCGGAAATTTGTTTTTCAATCAATTGATCAAGCAAAACTCATTATCGTCCTGCATGTTCGTATAATGGACCTTGGTTATGAATTCTAATCATCTGAGATCAACCTTTCTAAATTTAAAAGTAAAGATCACGCACCCTTATTGTTCAGATTGATAAAGTCTTTTGCATCCGTCGACATTATCTTCGATTAAAGATCTGATAACCACAGTGACTGTGCATGTATACTTTAACGACCGGGGTAGTTTTCTTATAAGTTTTTAAAAGTAGTAACCTCCCTTGTTAATGTGATGTTGTAATCAATCTATTTATTTGTACCATCTATATATAATATTATATTGTACAATTTAAATTTATGATTCGTTTAATATTTAAATATAATAATTTATTTTTTATTAAAGATATAAACAAGGTAATTTGAAAGGCTTTGATTCATTTATCACCGTAGTTCAATTCATAAGTCAGGCGGTCTATTTTGTCTACATTATGTTGAAAGAACACCGGGGTGTTTACATTGGCATTATTTACTATCAGTGACTGTGAAACAAGAAAGGAAAACATTGTACATTATAAAACGAGAAATAATTAAAATTAAATACAAAATTCTTGTTTAGTGAAATCAAAAACGAAAAACGGAAACACTTTTGATTTTCATTTTGGTTTTAGAGAATTCAAAAACAAAAAATAAAAACACTTTCGTTTTCCGTTTTGGTTTTAGAGAAATCAAAAACGAAAAATGAAAACACTTTTGTTTTTCGTTTTGGTTTTTGAGAAATCAAAAACGAAAAAAGAAAACACTCTCGTTTTTTGTTTTTTGTTTTTGATATTTCAAAATGAAAAACGAATGGACGCAAATATACATGGACCTTTAAAGCTTAAATCTCAACTGAGTTTAAACATTTATGTATTTTTTTTCTTCTTCAGAAAGCAAACAAGAGAAGGAGGCTTGCAGTAGAAGATACAGATTCTGACTAATTAATAAAATGTTAAAATGCTATTCAGGAAAATTCAATATTCATTGACAGTCATAATTAAGTCCTGTCATATGAATAAGCTATTCTATCAATGCTTTTGTGTTGGCAGTATACACATGTCATGCTTTGACTGCTCTTAATTGTTTGAAAGAGTCTGAAAATATCAAACGAAAATTCAAATATCCACAAGTCGGAGAAAAACAATCGCATTGCAAAACAAAATAAAAATAAAAATAAACAGTCCACATTACACTACATATAATGACAGAACAAGCAACAGGTGCCCTGGAGGAGAGCTGATAAATATTAGTCTAAATATGCATGATATATTTGCAAGCTGAGAGTTGGCCTGAACATAAAACATTTTTTGAATATTTATATAATGTTTTTTACAAATCTATTACCAAGAGATTTTAAGAATATTGGGAAGACATCCATAAAACATTGTTGAAATATTTAATTTACATTTTCAAGAAATATTTCTACCTAAACTTGCCTCTGATATTTTAAAAAACATTTGGTAGACATCCATAAAACATATTATAGACATGAAAAGGATATTTTTGGAAAACGTTTGATATATGTTGTCTGGATATTTTCAATTGACACTGAATGATATCAAAATTATGTTATTTAAATATAAAATCAAAATATATAAAAATAATGTTCTTTAAACATTCAGAACAAATATTTCCAGAAAATATGCTATTCACGTGAGTACAACCATAAGTTTCACATCAAAAAAATATTTTTTAAATAATATTTTTGTGACATTTTGCAATATATTTTTAAAATATCAATAAAATGTACACATCTGACAATGTCACTACTTCCTACTAAGAAAGTCATTACTCATCTGACAGTGTCACTACTTTCTACTAAGAAAGTCATTTACCCATTTGACAGTGTCACTACTTCCTACTAAGAAAGTCATTACTCATCTGACAGTGTCACTACTTCCTACTAAGAAAGTCATTTACCCATCTGATAGTGTCCCAACTTCCTACTAAGAAAGTCATTTACCCATCTGACAGTGTCACTACTTCCTACTAAGAAAGTCATTTACCCATGGATCTTACAGTGTCGCTACTTCCTACTAAGAAAAGTCATTTACCCATCTGACAGTGTCACAACTTCCTACTAAGAAAGTCATTTACCCATCTGACAGTGTCACGACTTCCTACTAAGAAAGTCATTTACCCATCTGACAGTGTCACAACTTCCTACTAAGAAAGTCATTTACCCATCTGACAGCGTCACAACTTCCTACTAAAAAAGTCATTTACCCATCTGACAGTGTCACAACTTCCTACTAAGAAAATCATTTACCCATCTGACAGTGTCACTACTTCCTACTAAGATAGTCATGTACCCATCTAACAGTGTCACTATTTCCTACTAAGACAGTCATGTACCCACCTAACAGTGTCACTACTTCCTACTAAGAAAGTCATTTAGCCATCTGACAGTGTCACTACTTCCTACTAAGACAGTCATTTACCCATCTGACAGTGTCACTACTTCCTACTAAGAAAGTCCTTTACCCATCTGACATTGTCACTACTTCCTACTAAGAAAGTCATTTACCCATCTGACATTGTCACTACTTCCTACTAAGAAAGTCATTTACCCATCTGACAGTGTCACTACTTCCTACTAAGAAAGTCCTTTACTCATTTGACAGTGTCACTACTTCCTACTAAGAAAATCATTTACCTATCTGACAGTGTCACTACTTCCTACTAAGAAAGTCATTTACTCAACCGACAGTGTCACTTCTTCCTACTAAGAAAGTCATTTACCCATCTGACAGTGTCACTACTTCCTACTAAGAAAGTCATTTACCCATGGATCTAACAGTGTCGCTACTTCCTACTAAGAAAAGTCATTTACCCATCTGACAGTGTCACAACTTCCTACTAAGAAAGTCATTTACCCATCTGACAGTGTCACGACTTCCTACTAAGAAAGTCATTTACCCATCTGACAGTGTCACAACTTCCTACTAAGAAAGTCATTTACCCATCTGACAGCGTCACAACTTCCTACTAAAAAAGTCATTTACCCATCTGACAGTGTCACAACTTCCTACTAAGAAAATCATTTACCCATCTGACAGTGTCACTACTTCCTACTAAGATAGTCATGTACCCATCTAACAGTGTCACTACTTCCTACTAAGACAGTCATGTACCCACCTAACAGTGTCACTACTTCCTACTAAGAAAGTCATTTAGCCATCTGACAGTGTCACTACTTCCTACTAAGACAGTCATTTACCCATCTGACAGTGTCACTACTTCCTACTAAGAAAGTCCTTTACCCATCTGACATTGTCACTACTTCCTACTAAGAAAGTCATTTACCCATCTGACATTGTCACTACTTCCTACTAAGAAAGTCATTTACCCATCTGACAGTGTCACTACTTCCTACTAAGAAAGTCCTTTACTCATTTGACAGTGTCACTACTTCCTACTAAGAAAATCATTTACCTATCTGACAGTGTCACTACTTCCTACTAAGAAAGTCATTTACTCAACCGACAGTGTCACTTCTTCCTACTAAGAAAGTCATTTACCCATCTGACAGTGTCACAACTTCCTACTAAGAAAGTCATTTACCCATCTGACTGTCACTACTTCCTACTAAGAAAGTCATTTACCCATCTGACAGTGTCACTTCTTCCTACTAAGAAAGTCATTACCTATCTGACAGTGTCACTACTTCCTACTAAGAAAGTCATTTACCCATCTGACAGTGTCACTACTTCCTACTAAGAAAGTCATTTACACATCTGACAGTGTCACTACTTCCTACTAAGAAAGTCATGTACCCATCTAACAGTGTCACTACTTCCTACTAAGAAAGTCATGTACCCATCTAACAGTGTCACTACTTCCTACTAAGAAAGTCATTTACCCATCTGACAGTGTCACTACTTCCTACTAAGACAGTCATGTACCCACCTAATAGTGTCACTACTTCCTACTAAGAAAGTCATTTAGCCATCTGACAGTGTCACTACTTCCTACTAAGACAGTCATTTACCCATCTGACAGTGTCACTACTTCCTACTAAGAAAGTCCTTTACCCATCTGACATTGTCACTACTTCCTACTAAGAAAGTCATTTACCCATCTGACATTGTCACTACTTCCTACTAAGAAAGTCATTTACCCATCTGACAGTGTCACTACTTCCTACTAAGAAAGTCCTTTACTCATTTGACAGTGTCACTACTTCCTACTAAGAAAATCATTTACCTATCTGACAGTGTCACTACTTCCTACTAAGAAAGTCATTTACTCAACCGACAGTGTCACTTCTTCCTACTAAGAAAGTCATTTACCCATCTGACAGTGTCACAACTTCCTACTAAGAAAGTCATTTACCCATCTGACTGTCACTACTTCCTACTAAGAAAGTCATTTACCCATCTGACAGTGTCACTTCTTCCTACTAAGAAAGTCATTACCTATCTGACAGTGTCACTACTTCCTACTAAGAAAGTCATTTACCCATCTGACAGTGTCACTACTTCCTACTAAGAAAGTCATTTACACATCTGACAGTGTCACTACTTCCTACTAAGAAAGTCATGTACCCATCTAACAGTGTCACTACTTCCTACTAAGAAAGTCATGTACCCATCTAACAGTGTCACTACTTCCTACTAAGAAAGTCATTTACCCATATGACAGTGTCACTACTTCCTACTAAGAAAGTCATTTACCCATCTGACAGTGTCACTACTTCCTACTAAAAATGAAAGATTTGTCACTAACAGACAATGTATTTGGCTGATGTCTGTCGTCGTATCTTTGAATGATCTTTACGAAACTCACAGTACCATATCGTTATGTAGGCTTTTTTTTTTGTTTCAGACATCATCTTGTCATATATTCTTATATCTAGTAAAGTGTGAATTCGTTTATTACATTGGTTGCAATGAATTGCCTTGATTTCCTTTCCTAATAAAATAAAAACCGATAGTTTCACTCTTGACGTCATACAACAGTGACAGTTAACTCATCAGCTACGCGCATTCAAGTCTGTGCCAAACTGTATTAGGGTTTGTCTGACCGAAAAAGAAATTTGATCTTTTCTACTATATTTTCAACTAAAAAATCTAAAAAGTTCTGTATGACCGAATGATTTTTTGTCTCACATTTTTTTGGTCAGACAGAGTTTGGGATACACTGGCATTCGTGAATTAATGTGTTGTGCGGTCACTCTTTAAATACTTCTCTATATTTGAATTCTTCGATTCTGTTCAAAACTATGCTTTTAGTACAATATTTGCGTATTTATTTATCAACAAAGATAGATATGTCACACAACTAAACCAGAATTCTGTCAGAAATAAAAGATATAATTAAAAAGTCAATTGTTCATGAACAATTGAAAGGTCTTTCCTTTTTTTCTTTTATTGATAGCCTTCTTAGTTCAAAAATATATGGTTGCTAAGGACTTTTATGTTCATAACAAGTGGTTGTTAAGGACAAAAATCATTCCTAAGGATAAAAATATTACTTCCAGTATTAAAAATGTCATATGTACTATTCATAGTCTTTCAAGTTAAAAAAATAAGTGATTGCTAAAGACTTATATGTCGTTGCTAGGGACAAAAATGTCATTTCCAGTATTAAAAATTTCATATTGATATTATTCATAGCCTTCTAAGTTCAAAAACATATGGTTGCTAAGGTGTTTTATGTCGTTGCTAGGGACGTTGACCTCTGATATTGAACTAATTTTATAGATCTTATTATGCTGAACATTTTTGTAATTCAAAGTTTCTTTCTATCTCTAACCTCTTTTGAGTTATAAGCAAACAATCATCATTTCGGACCCGAAAAACCGTTTTGGTGCCCTAGGTCCATAATAGTTGGTCCAATAATTTTAAACGCAACACAACATCTTGCCAAGACAAACATTTTCTCCGTTACATTTTATCAGCCATCTTTTACGGTTATTGAGTAAATCCGATAACAAGCTAAGGTCAAAATCTAGGTCCTAACCTTGACCTTTGACCTTAAGTCAATTTTCATGGTCACGTGAATTGATGATCATTAATGAAGATCCTAGGTGGCTACAAATTACGGTTTCTGAGTTTTAGTGGCAAACCGACATTGGCTAATTTTCAAAGGGGCATAACCCTACCAATGAGTCGTTGAATCTTTTCAATCTAAATGTAACGAAGAACCAGGATCT